TATATATATACACTACTCCTAACTGACACCTAGGGCGAAAAAGCCTTTGTCTATATTTCACTTTAACGTCGTTAAAATTTCCCCTTAGCCAAAATCTAATTTAAAGATAAGACAAAATTTAAATTGATCGAAAAGAAATGACAAACATAACTTGACATCTGACTAAATACATTATTTGCCAAATAAAAACAAAATTATTTTGGAGTGTTCCTAATATTGTGGTTTAAAAACATAAATTTTACCATCCTAAATTATAAAATCTCTACACCTTGACCCAACCAGGGCTTTACACTGGCACCCACATCTATCCCTTTGGTCGGATCATATGTCACACTAGTTGGACATCCGTTAATGCAAAGTTCTAAACACACATCTGGACATATTATTATTATGCAATCTAGAGCCGAATATCCAACTGCTGATTAAAATAATAAAAAAATAAAAAATAAAACACAACTTACCACCAGCAGCACACACTGACTTATATCTTCTGAAACTCGAGGTGATCAATTTAACTCTGAATGAAATAAAAAGCACAAAAATTATACAACCTATTTATATGGTCTTGAAATGCTATTCTTAGAACTGGGAATTCCCAATCTTTAATCTAATCAATATCAATTAACCAATCAAAAAGCTTTAGCAACCATGTGACACGCTAAAGTCCTAAGTCCATTGGAAGATAGAGTAATGTGCGGTAACTTGTGGGAACCACTACCCTTGAGATTTAAGAAAACCAATTTCCTTTTAAATCTGTTTAATAAAAAGAATTAGCTAATTATTGAAATAGCAAAACCTACATAGTGGGTATTGCGCAATAGTGCTGTAAAAAGGTCAGTGACTATGCTATTACTATTATCAAAACTATATTGTTTAATTGTCAGTCTATACCCTCAAATTTTACTAAAAATATAAAATGTAGGTCAAAAAAATACTTTCCTATGAACTTTTAAAGTCAGACTCCGGAGGAAAAAAAAAATTTGATATGTTGTAGAAGTGATTTTTCTAAGACAGAAAAAAGTTGTTTGACGAAAAACTGGAGAACGGTGAACGAGATACAGATTTTTGAATATTTAAAAACTGGGGGAAAAAGGGGCGTAACCACCCATTTTTACACCTTTTTTCCCCCAGTTTTTAAATATTCAAAAATCTGTATCTCATTCACCGTTGCTCAGTTTTTTATCAAACTACTTTTTTCTGTCTTAGAAAAATCACTTCTACAACATATCAAAAAAATTTTTTCCTCCGGAGCCTGACTTTAAAGCCAGGCTCTGGAGGGAAAAATACTGTTGAAAGTACAGTAGTACAACTGATTTTTTTAAGACACAAAAAAGGTGGTTGACGAAAAACTTGGGAGCAGTTATATTTTTTAATAATTAAAACCTGAATGGAAAAAGTATATAAAACCTATATCAGTGTTTCCAAATTTTTTCCTCCAAAGACTGCCATTAGCACGTCGGCTATAGATGCAAATAATAATTTTATATTTAAAAAATATAGCGTAAAAGAGCAATCTGTCCAAGACTGAAAAGAAAAAAACCTCAAATAATTTGTATAAATTATTTTTGTATAATTATTATTAATTATTGTATATACATAAAATCATGAAATAGGATGCTCATGCGTGAGAGTCATGCATTATGCGTGAGAGTTGGCATATACAAGTAATTCGAGACCACCTTTGGGACCTGAACATTTGGGCAGTCCCGTGGTTCGGTCTCCAATTAGAAGGTTAGTTTTGTATTTAAAGATTGAAGTTCGTTTATTGATACTTTGAAAAAGTGGTCTCGAATTGGTGGGTGCACTGTACTGTAATATTGTTTTGTTATTGACTTATATGGTAACAGACAGACAGCTATGCGCCTTGCATTAATCCATTGATTGATTGATAATAGCATAACAACATGCATTGTTGCAGCCGGCCACAATGCCGCAGCACAGTGGTGGCACCAGCAGGGGTCGAATTAGTCCCTCAATCAGACAGGCATGGACCCCCCCTGTCATCTGATGCAGGACTGGGTCGTCAGATCAAAAATTAATAATAATTTGCCTATCCAAATAAAGATATTTTGACTGCCAATCCCTAAAATTGTATATGGTCTAAATGCTCACTGTGGACCATACTAAGTCACATAAACTCTCTCTGTGGAACTTACAAAAGAGTTTCCATTCCGGTCCGTCGACCGAGGCTTCGTCAGCCCCTTGGCCCGGACCCCTCTGTCGGACCCCTTGTCGGCAAACTCCTGGCACCACCGATGCTGAAGCATGATTGTGATGTTTTCCCTGCCTGGCTATCCAATGTTTATGGCATAAGATGTTGAGATTGTTGTGTTGAACAAAGTTTAGAAATTGTAGAACCATGTATGCATGCTACATTTCTGTTTCTTTGCTTTATGATTGGTGTATAATCACCAATATATAATAATATAACAGAATACATGAAAATGAAAATACATTTGTTGTACAAGTTTCCTGGTAAACAGTTACTGTACAATTCATCAGTTTTGTTTGTTCATAAAAATACACAACGAAAAACCTTTAAAATTGCAAGAACCGCCAAGTGAAAAACTCATCCACTTTATTGCTTATTCAGAAATAACCTTTATTGTATTTTTTTTATGCAAGAGTTGGTCCTATTGAATTTACTTGCTAACGTTGATCTATTGAATTGATCATGAAACTATGGAGTTGTTTGCTATACCATAAGCTTGCTAAACAACAACTCATAATTGTATAGTGTTAAGACTAGCTTGGCAAGTTAAAGTTCATGTTAAGTGACCAATTAAGTTTATCCTGATTTATTTATAATACAGTATTTTAGTTATTTGTTGTATTTGTTTATTCTGAATATACCAATTGTTTATGTTCGTTGTAAGCTTAAGGTAAGTTACTTGTCAACGGCTCCACCCTCTTTGGTCAAATAACTACTTGTGTTTACATTTTTCTGTATTATTCACCTAAACCATATACAGTATGTACATTTATTTAACTTTTTTTTTTTAATTTTAGTATTTCCTTTTCCTTTACATTGTACTAGGCCTAGGCCTATACTCTTTTTATGTGATAGGCTTTCGGTTTTTTTTTTTTAGTTTCTTTCTTTGACTGATGTGATTAGAAAGCTGTAATACCCTCACTACAATGTGCCTTAATTCTTTACGACTTGGAGTAAGATTTATTTTTGCATGTGGTCAGTATCTTCAGTCAAGTTCAAGGTAACACATACCCCCATTTGTTGATTTGACAACTAATGGGTAAGCATTGACGTAAAATCTTTGCAGTTTATTAGAGAAAATTTATGATTTAAGAACAACGCCAAGCAGTGTGTGTACAATAATTATTTTTTCTTGTGTATGGATGCACTATTACTAAGCGATTTCCGAATAAATATTATTATTATTATCATTATTATTATACAAGTTTTCATTAGGCATTGTTCTCAAATTGTGAGTTTCTCTAAACTGCAAAGATGTTATGTTAATACTTACCAATTAGTTGTGACTACTGTACTGTGTATGACAAAGCAGAATTGACTTAGCAATTACGGTACATGAAAAAATAAAACGTTTCCATTACCTTGGGTCATTTGATGTCAAATCAAAAAATGTGGATAGAGTATGCGTTACCTTGAATTTGATTAAACTGCACACATGCAAAAATAAATCTTACTCCAAGTCGGTTCAGAATTAAGGCATAGTTGGGGAATTACAACTGTCTAAGGACAAATAAAATGAATTGTTAGTTTCATGTCCAAGATTTGGAATTATTTTTTGATGACGGTATTTACTATTTATTTTGACTATCCTATATTCTAATGGTTAACAGGCTGGCATTTTTTTTTTTTATAAAAGAATGAATCTTTGTAACGTATTTCTTCCATTTACAGTATGTTCCCACCTCCTGTTAGGCTTAACATTCTTCTTGCTGATAGTCATTATTTTATTGTCCATGGAAAAATGAATGTGTTTTTGAAATATACCAAATAGTAAATTTTTTCATGAGGCTTCATAATTTGATGAGCGTGGACAGGCCTGGAAAAAACATTGTTGCACCGGTACGACCATAAAAAATTATCTTGATCAAAAGCCTCCAGCACCAAATGTTATCTTTACACTATTATAGCTAAACTGTAGTACATTTAGTGGTTTTGGTGCAAGCATAAATATCAAATTTAATTACCGGTATGCAAATTGTGATGTGTAAAAAAAAAAAAAAAAAAAATTTTTTCCTAAAATGCCTCCAGGGTAATAGTCAATAATAATGGTAATGATAATGATCAGCTGGTCACGTGGTCGCTCACTTTTTCCAGCCCTAATTTTATTTGGCTCAATGCATTGTGCATGCGATTCACTTTATTTATTTTTTTTTAATGCCCTTTAAAATAAAGAGCTGCATAGTAAACATTGGTGATAACCAAAGTCGTTTTCACCCTGAAGAACTCAGATCTGGCCCTAAAAAATCAGGTGTATATCATCCTCTTTCACTTCTACAAGCTGCTCCAGAGAATAGCTGCTTATCGAGGCCCGAAAAGTCATCAACTCGTCTCCCCAAATCAACTTGACCCCAAAAGTCAACTCAGCTTCAAACCAACCTCTTTTCTTGAATAAGGTTTTCTGTTGTGTATTTAATTTACAAACTAATCTGTAGTTTGGTAAATAAAATTTAACACTTGTTTACAAGGAAATTGATAGAAAAGAAATAATTATAATAAATAATAAACATATTATTGCTGGCATTTTTTATTTAATTTATTAAGGAAATTGGCACATAAAAAAAAAGTTATTATTTATTTTTTCCCTTTATTTGTCAGATTGCTTTTGTATTAAGTTTGATACAGAAACTTCTCTGTTACACTAAAGCTGATTTGGATTTGCTTCATCTATTTAATTAGCCCTGATTATTCCAACAGTTAGTTGCTTAGAGACTGATATTGAAAACTGTTTTCAATAATATCAGGAAATATTAAAGTAATATTGAATATTATTATTGATGCTTAGTAGACATGGAAATTTCATTCAATGTGATTGAGAAAACATTATCATACAAATTGGGTAAATATAAAGTAATGTAATCATAATTAATAAATAATAGTAAACAAATACTGTAATGAAATTTATAATTGATTACATTTTCATTGTCAAGTATTGATCCCTATACTGTACTGCAGTGCCACTGATGAAGATTTACGATTGAGTTTGAGATTATCCTAGGCCTACTGTACAACAATCATTAATACTATTAGCATTTGTATACTACAGAACAGAAAAAAGACAAGGCGTAAGAGGGCTGAAAAATAAATCATGATTACAAAAAGAATGTACAGGTACGGATTAGTTCTACCTAGAAAAGGGTGATTCCCTAGAAAAGAATAATAAATAAGTTTCCACTCTGCAATACAACTCTTTCTATCTTTACATTTCAGTCAATCAATTCGAGGGTATCTTGCTTCTTTGGTGAGGCTACTGCTGATAAATTAAGACAACAGGAAATAAACGCATAAACAGTACTACTACTACTGTACACTGACTGGCATATGGCTTGTGATGAGGAACTCCCGTGGTGATCATCATCCTGCAGGCTTGCCAGCCCGGTATCCAGCCTGGGGCTAACTTTCAGGTGGACACCGAACATTCATCACGTTAAAACATTGTATTTTACCTATAATACAAGATTCGTGAATTACAAACACCAGTATAAAAATTTACATGAAAATATTATGATGATGGTATTCATGTAGAATACCAAAGTAAAAAAGAACACATAAAACCTAGGCCTACCTTAAAAACTCCGGCGATGTCAAGTCAGGCCCACCTCGCTGTTTCATGGGATGGACCACGCATCAATGCGCGCATGCATGGTTTCAAGTTTTTCGGGGAATTCCCGATTGGCTTTTAAAAACTACCGCCCTCTATAGTATCGATGATGTTGTTATGACAACAGGATTATTTACTTCTCTCTGCGCAGTGGTCTTGGCTGCACTGCCAGCTTTTGCTGTTTTGTAAAGAAGTTCGATTGTTGTTGATTTAGTTGTTATTGTTCCATTTTTGCGTATAACATTTTCTAGAAATATGTCTCACACGTAAGTTAATTATTTTGAATTTAAGTTAATTATAGAGAAGTACTGTGATCCTTTTGCTTGGTTGGGTATGCTGGAAGGCATCAACAAAACATTCTGGACTGGATCAAGTGGCTTCTGCCTGTTTTACTTTAGCTACCAAAAAGCCTTCTCACCACTGGCCTAGTCTAACCTAGTTGCTAGACCTTCTTGTGTTAGCATAGACTTAGTTTTAAGCCCAGGCTAGACCTAGGCTTATCCAGCTACAGAACGACCATACTTCAGCAAACGTTTGCAACCACCACCAAGTCAATTCTCAAATTCTGCCCCACCCACCATATTTTACTATTTTACTAAAGTAAAACCCATACCCTGACAACTGTGAAATTCAAACAGTGACATTAACATTAACAAGCTCAAAATACCCACACGTACACTACAAACAATGTTTTTAGTAGAGTAGTGCCTAATCCTCACAAATGTTAGATTACAATAAAGGAAGTCCATTTGTTTGACCATTTTGTTTTGTTTCTCATTCATTTCAGGGCATACCAGAGACAGTGGATAGAAGCCCAGTCTAGCCTAAATGACCTTTTGGCCCAGGAGCTTCCACCGGAACCACCGAAACCGGAAAAAGATCGCTTGAATGCGTTCCAAAACTTAGCAACTATGTATATAAAATATATACACATATTCCACAAACTTGAGCAGTGTTACGACCAGATCGTTCACCCACAGAAGAGGAGGGTGATTCGGCATGTGCTGGATGGCGTGATGGGAAGGGTGCTTGAATTAAAAAATGAACTTGTTCTTCTAGAGCTGTCAGAATTTCATTATTTTGATGATATTTTATCAGATTTGAAGTTAGCACCAGTAAGTAGTTGCAATTTGGTCTAAGAAATTTTTCCACTACCTACCTATATAAAATTACTTTTTTTTTTCTTTAGATATTTTTTTTGAGGATCACAGTGAAAGGTTGTGTAAATACACAATTTATAACTACTTTGGAAAAGGACTAAAATTTAGATACTTATTACATGTTTGAAAACTTAGTTCTTCAATTTTGTTATCATCCTCAAAGATAATTAAATGTTATTTAAATATTACTGAATGCTACCATACGTTATGTTTCTTGTGCTGCTAATAGGTATTATATTTAGAGACATTTTTTTAAACAGAAACCTATTTAAAATTATATTATGTAAACTTTATTGCAAACTCAATTTATGATTGGATTTTGTAAATATAATTATTATTATGATTGGTCTATACTACTGTAGTAGTTTAGCTTTTTAATTAATTTTTTTTAAAAGTTATATAACCATTATTAATTACTGATAATTTTTGCAAGAATAAGATTTTTTACATAATAATTTTAGATTTAAAAAAGAAATTTTAAACCAGGCATGGTTCATTGTGTGTGTAATGTGTTTACGATTTAATAAACAAATTGTAATTCATATATTTTTACAGGGGGACATAGAAATACCAATTCCAAAATATTTCATCAATGAACGAAGCAAAGTGTTGCAGGACCGCGAGAAATTACTTGGGCAGATTCTTGCGAAAATGGGACCACAGGAGGAGAAGGAGGAAGAGGTGAAAATGACAACAGATGAAGCAATACGTCTCATACAAATTCACGAGAGAGCACGGCAAGGCAGACTACGGGCCAAATTTATGCGAGAAATCCGCTTACAAGAGGAGCGCGAGAGGTTAGCTGCTAATCGTGGTGCCCCAACACTGGATGCGGATGTTGCCGCTGTCCGGATTCAGAAAACATGGAAAGGATATGCTGTTCGTAAACGGTCCAAACGAGAACGACAAGAGGAAATGATGTTCATTGGAATGGTATGGATGAATTAAACCAGCGCTTCTCAAAATATGGGTCGAGACCAAATATTGGGTTGCCAATTAAATTAGAGGGTCACAATCATTGTAAAATTTGTTTTACTAAAGAGAGTGCATTTTAGTGTCTTTTAAGTGTTTGAATTGAACAAATTTTGTTAACCAGTTAATTGTCCTTTTTGAGTGTCTTTCTTTAACATCCCGGCAAGTGGGTTGCAGCAAATTGCCTGGCTGTTTGCTTGGGCTGTCAGCCAAAACGGTTAAGAACTGCTGAATTTAACTATTCAAATTATTCATAGAGTACATCAGATTACTCTACATTTATACAGAATCATTTTGTATTGAAGCATATAGGCTATTTAGTATTATTATCTAATGCCAAGTCACTAAACTATGAAAATTACTTCATTTAGAAATTATTTTCCAGTCTTAAATGTCTGTAATATCCTTATTAATTTTCGTTTAGTATTATTTTAAAAAAGTATTAATTATTAATAACTGTCATCCTGAGTTACATTCAAACAATTAAATCTCGGAATGACACTTCAAAATTCTGTATCCCAACTCGATTTGTCTAAACTTAGTTTAAAATTTAAATTGGAAATTATTTGAAAAATCTTAAATCCCTTAATTTCATTTCATGTAATTAATAATACTTTATTATATGAAATTGTTAATATAATTCTATTGAATAATGTTTTTGTGTAATTTTTGTGTTCTTTTGATGTTATTATTATTAATATCATCTTTTCTTTTCATTTATTAATAATAATTAATTATTATTAATTATTAATTTGTGTTTTGTAATAGCACATACCTTTTGTGTGACAGTGGTCCTTCTGCCTTTTCTATTTCCTTGCACACTTCCTGTAATTTTTGCCAGGTTATTTTCCCTTTGAAACTTATTCTGTATTTTGTTTGGCTCTTTTGTAAATTTTTGTATTTTCTCACCAATAGGAATAAAATAAATATATTTTTTCATGCAGATATCCCCGCCACAATCCGGTAATCCCAAGAACACGCCGCAATACCTTGCAGAAAAAACACAAAATGCCCGCAGAGTGACGCAAACTGATCACGAGAGAGAATACCAGAAAGCGCTGGTGTCAATCAAAGACAAACTCCGTGAAGTCGAGGGCCCTGATGTCAAGGAGACCATGCAGGACCAGATTAGGCAGTGGTTTATTGAATGCCGTGATAAGACTGGCAAATTTCCAGACTATCCTGATGAGGATGAAGGGGGATCAGCTATGATTTTCAAAGAGAAAACACCAGAGGAGGTAGATATGGCCAAAACCTATTTCTAGAGTTAAGATGAAATAAAAAGAAAAGAACAATATGTAATAGTAATACTAGCAACAATCAAACAATATTAGAAACTTTAGATAAGTATAGTTCTCACAGCGTTTTTAAAAACTTGATTTGCAACTGCAAACCGTCACTCAAACCATGCATTTTCGGTTGGTATTACTATTTTCCACCCTGTGCTTGAATACCCAACATTACGCTTGCCGTGTATGATGGATGATTCCATCATTTTCTTTTATGCTCTAGAGTAAAAAATTTAATATCCTTGACCTTGTTCTTTGACATTTTCTTCCAAAAATATGAAGTGATCCATTCCTTAGTTCTTGCTAACAGACAGCCAGATGGTGTGAATGCATAACTCCCTTGGTGGAGGCAATAATCAACTATTTAAAAATGAACGATGGTGGCCTTACATTGTGAGAATACTGCTTTGAGAATGAATCAAAAAATTTACAATAAGATAACATTTACATTATATGTTGAATTATCTATTGTTTGTAGGTGGAGGCAGAACTACGTGAGCAAGAAGAAGACAAAGGAAAGAAGGGAAAGAAAGGGAAAAAGGAAAAGAAGGAGAAGAAAAAGGATAAAAAGAAGGACAAAAAAGGAAAGAAAGGCAAAAAAGGCAAAGGAGGAGATGAGGAGGTAGGTAGCATTTTATGAACCGTATTAACTGTTATGTACGTGTGTGATTGACAAACAAAAATACTTCCTTTTTCATGTTTTCAATCAAAAGCTGAACCTAATTTTAAGATTAACATTTTTTTTTTAATACTTGGTTTAGGTAGAATATCTTTAATCATTACAGTGGTTATAACACAGGTTTGTTTTAGTAAATGTGATAGGAGTGATGTTTTGACCTACCTGACATGGTGTGGTACCAAATACTCTATACGTTCTCAATATTTGAGAAAAAGTATTGCAAAAAGTGTTTTTTTCGCAAGTATTTGGGAACGTACTGAGTATTCAGTACGATAAACACGTCAGATAGGCCAAAACATCATTACTGTGATATTTTCCTGATGCACATTCATATGGTAATAATAAATGTGGTCAACTAGTGAGGTTTGACTACAAGGCCAAGATATAAATTACTAGGACCAGAAGTATGGCTATTATAGAGGACTATAGCCCTGTATCTATTACTGTACATTACCTAAAAGTAAACCTAAATAATAAAATCTGTCTCATTTATTTTTTTTTATAGGAAGAGGAAGAAGGCTTCAAGCTCCAACCATCAAATTTCCTTTCAACAGTCAATGAGAGCTCCAATGTATATGAAAGTAGGTTTTTATTGTTAATTATCCACTTTTTATAACAAATTAAATGAAATAAAATCCTGTTGTAGTATATTGATGTATCAGGGATGAATTCGAATGGGGGAAAATCTCTTCTGATTTAAACACCTCAATAAAAATGCCTTTTACTTGATTTGAATACATCTCTGTTTTTTTAATGAGTCATTGTACTATTTCAACATAGTAAAAAAATTGATATACTGGAAAAATAATAACAATTTAATGTAATTGAGAGGTAGGATGGTGGTTGATTTGGTATTCACAATCCAATTTTGGGATAAAATCCTTGAAAAACCTTTTGGTTTATGACAGAACATAGAGCAAAACATAGTGGAATGTGTTTGTATTATTGTATACTGGATGTGTAATACAAAGGAAAAAGATAATATATATAATATAATAAATAAATACAATTTGTTATCTAGAATTCTTTCTTGCACCCTCTATAGTTTAGAAAGAAAGTTTCATAGATATTGAAGTTTGCATAATGAATGTAGGTGGAAAGATTGTCACAATACAAGTTTTACATAGTGTATCCAATAACAATGAGCATATTTTAATGAAGGATTTTCACGTACTTAGGTGTGTGGAGGACTCGCAATGAAGAGACTAATTTTAGTCAGAAACACGATGCGGAATTGATCAAAGAAGACAAAAGAATTGAAGTTGAAACTGAGATTCGCCAACAAGTCGATGAGCTTATGAGACAAGAACTGAAGAATCTAAAATTAGTATGTTATTTTTGTTGTATATTTATCATACTGTATATTTGAGCTTTCTTTCTACAGGGTAGGCATAACCATTTAGGGATTAGCAGCACCAATTTGCAAGGAAGCCCTGGAAAACATTAAAACCATAAGGCTGCAGAAAGAAATCTTGTATTGGTATTCAGGGGTAAATCCAGTTGGGGGCAGAGGTCTGCCCATTGGGCATAATTAAGTCTGTCTCTTATACACATCTAGATGTGTATAAGAGACAGCGTACTGAGTATTCAGTATGATAAACACGTCAGATAGGCCAAAACATTATTCCTATGATATTTTCGTGATGTACACTCACATCGTAATAATAAATGTGATCAACTAGTGAGGTTTGACTACAAGGCCAAGATATAAATTACTAGGACCAGAAGTATGGCTATTATAGAGGACTATAGCCCTGTATCTATTACTGTACATTACCTAAAAGTAAACCTAAATAATAAAATCTGTCTCATTTATTTTTTTTTATAGGAAGAGGAAGAAGGCTTCAAGCTCCAACCATCAAATTTCCTTTCAACAGTCAATGAGAGCTCCAATGTATATGAAAGTAGGTTTTTATTGTTAATTATCCACTTTTTATAACAAATTAAATGAAATAAAATCCTGTTGTAGTATATTGATGTATCAGGGATGAATTCGAATGGGGGAAAATCTCTTCTGATTTAAACACCTCAATAAAAATGCCTTTTACTTGATTTGAATACATCTCTGTTTTTTTAATGAGTCATTGTACTATTTCAACATAGTAAAAAAATTGATATACTGGAAAAATAATAACAATTTAATGTAATTGAGAGGTAGGATGGAGACTTCCTGTAATTTTTGCCAGGTTATTTTCCCTTGAAACTTATTGTGTATTTTGCTTGGCTCTTTTGTAAATTTTTGTATTTTCTCACCAATAGGAATAAAATAAATATATTTTTTCATGCAGATATCCCCTCCACAAGCCGGTAATCCCAAGAACACGCCGCAATACCTTGCAGAAAAAACACAAAATGCCCGCAGAGTGACGCAAACTGATCACGAGAGAGAATACCAGAAAGCGCTGGTGTCAATCAAAGACAAACTCCGTGAAGTCGAGGGCCCTGATGTCAAGGAGACCATGCAGGACCAGATTAGGCAGTGGTTTATTGAATGCCGTGATAAGACTGGCAAATTTCCGGACTATCCTGATGAGGATGAAGGGGGATCAGCTATGATTTTCAAAGAGAAAACACCGGAGGAGGTAGATATGGCCAAAACCTATTTCTAGAGTTAAGATGAAATAAAAAGAAAAGAACAATATGTAATAGTAATACTAGCAACAATCAAACAATATTAGAAACTTTAGATAAGTAAAGTTCTCACAGTGTTTTTAAAAACTTGCAACTGCAAACCATCACTCAAACCATGCATTTTCGGTTGGTATTTTCCACCCTGTGCTTGAATAACCAACATTACGCTTGCTGCGGTGTATGATGGATGATTCCATCATTTTCTTTTATGCTCTAGAGTAAAAAATTTAATATCCTTGACCTTGTTCTTTGACATTTTCTTCCAAAAATATAAAGTGATCCATTCCTTAGTTCTTCCTAACAGACAGCCAGACGGTGTGAATGCATAACTCCCTTGGTGGAGGTAATAATCAACTATTTAAAAATGAATGATGGTGGCCTTACATTGTCAGAATACTACTTTGAGAATGAATCAACAAATTTACAATAAGATATATGTTAACATTATATGTTGAATTATCTATTGTTTGTAGGTGGAGGCAGAACTACGTGAGCAAGAAGAAGACAAAGGAAAGAAGGGAAAGAAAGGGAAAAAGGATAAGAAGGAGAAGAAAAAGGATAAAAAGAAGGATAAAAAAGGAAAGAAAGGCAAAAAAGGGAAAGGAGGAGATGAGGAGGTAGATAGCATTTTATGAACCGTATTTAACTATTATGTACGTGTGTGATTGACAAACAAAAATACTTCCTTTTTCATGTTTTCAGTCAAAAGCTGTACCTAATTTTAAGATCAACATTTTTTTTTTTAATACTTGGATTAGGTAGAATATCTTTAATCATTACAGTGGTTATAACACAGGTTTGTTTTAGTAAATGTGATAGGAGTGATGTTTTGACCTACCTGACATGGTGTCGTACCAAATACTCAATATTTGCGAAAAAAGTATTGCAAAAAGGTTTTTTTTCGCAAGTATTTGGGAACGTACTGAGTATTCAGTATGATAAACACGTCAGATAGGCCAAAACATTATTCCTATGATATTTTCGTGATGTACACTCACATCGTAATAATAAATGTGATCAACTAGTGAGGTTTGACTACAAGGCCAAGATAGAAATTACTAGGACCAGAAGTATGGGTATTATGCAGGACTGTAGTCCTGTATCTAGTATTGTACATTACCTAAAAGTAAACCTAAATAATAAAATCTGTCTCGTGTTATTTATTATTTTATAGGAAGAGGAAGAAGGCTTCAAGCTGCAACCATCAAATTTCCTTTCAACAGTCAATGAGAGCTCCAATGTATATGAAAGTAGGTTTTTATTGTTAATTATCCACTTTTTATAATGAATTAAATGAAATAAAATCCTGTTGTAGTATATTGATGTATCAGGGATGAATTCAGATGGGGACCTCAATAAAAATGTATTTTACTTGAATTGAATACATCTCTGTTTTAATGAGTCATTGTGGTGTTTCAACATAGTAAAAATTGATATACTGGAAAAATAATAACAATTGAATGTAATGGAGAGGTAGGATGGTGGTTGATTTGGTATTCACCATCCAATTTTGGGATCAAATCCTTGAAAAACCTTTTGGTTTATGACAGAACATAGAGCAACACATAGTGGAAGGTGTTTGTATCATTGTATACTGGATGTGTAATACAAAGGAAAAAGATAAATAAATAAATACAATTTGTTATCTAGACTTCTTTCTAGCACCATCTACAGTTTAGAAAGTAAGTTTCTGTGCACTTACTAAGCATAGATTTTGAAGTTTGCATAATGAATGTAGGAGAAGGATTGTCACAATACAAGTTTTACATAGTGTATCCAATAACAATGAGCATATTTTAATGAAGGATTTTCACGTAATTAGGTGTGTGGAGGACTCGCAATGAAGAAACTAATTTTAGTCAGAAACACGATGCGGAATTGATCAAAGAAGACAAAAGAATTGAAGTTGAAACTGAGATTCGCCAACAAGTCGATGAGCTGATGAGACAAGAACTGAAGAATCTAAAATTAGTATGTTATTTTTGTTGTATATTTATCATACTGTATATTTGAGCTTTCTTTCTACAGGGTAGGCATAACTATTCAGGGATTAGCAGCACCAATTTGCAAGGAAGCCCTGGAAAACATTAAAACCATAAGGCTGCAGAAAGAAATCTTGTATTGGTATTCAGGGGTAAATCCAGTTGGGGGCAGAGGTCTGCCCATTGGGCATAATTAAGTTGTACACTTTTACCAGCACCAGGGCTTTGCACCTGACCTACACCCCTGTTGGACAGCTTAGCTTGGGGACCTCTACCTCTGTTGGACAGCTTAGCTTGGGGACCTCCACCTCTGTTGGACAGCTTAGCTTAGCTATGACCTTTCAGTTCAAAACTAATAACAAAAAGGCAAAATACAAATAATTTTTTAACACACAACCTGATGTTTTTGTATATTTTTGTAGGCTGTAGATAGAGACAAGGGAAAGAAAGGCAAGAAAGGTAAAAAAGGAAAGAAGAGTGGAAAGAAAAGTGGAAAGAAGAAGAAAAAGAAGAGTGGAAAGAAAAGTGGGAAGGGAAAGAAAAAGAAGAAGGAAAAGGACCTTACACCAGATAGGTAAGTTGTATTTTAGGAATACTCCTAGTCATACAGATATTTATAAGCAATAATACATTCAAGCAGTGGCATATTTATGATTCTTGAAATGGTGGTGGGTGGGGGGGTTATGGGGAGCTAAGGTGAAGTGGGGGCTCAATGATTGAGGGGTGCTAGCTCACAAAAAAGTTGATTTGAGGTGACTTATAACCACTTGCTCACGATTCTTTTGCTTGAATATTTTCAGTGGCGGGGGAGATTGGGGGAACAGGATAATTTGGGGTGGGGGGAAGCGCCCCTACGTACCCCTATATATGCCACTGCATTCAACATAGAATGCTCACAGTGCTCTTTTATACTCCCCTATGGAAAGAGACATGACATAGATAAAGTTCTTTCCCACAGGCATAATAATCAGGGATTTGAACCAATGACGTTCCTGGTTCAGATCATAATCATTGTTGCAACCATTTCTACCATTTTTTTTGGGCATACCAGATGTAAAATAATATTAATAAACCACTCCTCATTGTTATTTTAAAGAACGATCGATTCATTGTATGAGGAGATGGTAACAGAGGGCATCCTGGTACGTTCTCCCAAGTTTTATTTGAGGGAATACGAAGGAGAATACAGCTATCTAGGAACCACCCTGAGACAGGCCAATATTGAGCCTATGCCTTCATTATCAGATGTTCGTCAATTGGTGGCGCTATATGGAATTCTTCCTCTAGGTAAGTATATAATTATATTTAACCATATAAAAAACTATACAATATGTATCCTCATAAATATTCACAAAATTGCAAGCTGTTTTTTTCAGTGCTATTTTATTCGCATCTAACAAATACTCTCACTATGTAGGCCAAGTATAAAGTATATTAGTTCTTCCATTTCGTGGAGGGGTGCATCCATTGTTCTTCCGTCCTTTTGGGTCGTACAGGATGGGCACATTGTGGTGCGCTGTAACGTCTAATTATAGGGCTTAGGGAGTGAAATTAAGTTGGTTGTAGCCATCAGAAAAAAATTAACAGGATTTTAACTTGGAATCCTGGGATTAGGAGGTGGTATTCTTAACCACCAAGCAACAGATCCTCATTAAATTTTTAATTTTAATTCATTCATTTAGTCATTACCATTTTGTTTAGGTTCACAAGCTGTGCACGAAAAAGCGCCCTTGATAAAATCTCTGCTTCTGGCTGGTCCTCGAGGAACAGGAAAGCGTAGCCTGGTCCACGCCATCTGCACAGAGACAGGAGCAAATCTTTTTGACCTTACGGCAGCCAACATCGCTGGTAAATACCCCGGAAAGAGCGGACTACAGATGCTGATGCATATTGTGATAAAAGTAGCAAGGAATTTACAACCGTCAGTGGTCCTAATGAATGATGCTGAAAAAACATGGCTGAAAAAAGTTCCAAAAACAGACAAGGTGGAGTATTAAGTTTAAACATTTTTGATCAAGACTTTGAAAGTTACATACAAACTTGTAGGATCTCCTAATTTTTGACTTTCCAAGTTGTTCAAGCTATTCCCACAATTACTATATACACTAAAGTTGGGTATTTATTGTTATAAATCATGTACTTTAATGTTTGAATTTTTCTTATTACTTTTATTTTAGGAATTTCAGTATTATTATCTATAGGCCCCTAATAATAATTATCAAAAATGTTACAGTATGATGAATGTTATTACTACTACTATTATTTATTATACTATAATTAATATTATTTAATATTTTATTATCGTTTATTAATATTATTATTATTAATACTACTATTCTGACCCAAATTTCTACTACAGCAAATATTTTCATGTTTTTACATTTTGGTTTAATTTGTAGACCGACCCAAAGCGATTGAAGAAGGAAATCCCCAAGATGTTAAAAGGCCTGAAGCCAGAGGACCGTATCCTGTTTGTCGGAACATCACGTTGTCCATTTGATTGCGAGATGAAAGGCATAACTGGGGCTTTTCAAAAGATTGTTCTTATTCCGAGACCAGACTATGCATCAAGGCATTGTAAGTCATTGGTCATCGTATACCTATTAAAATTATAGTTGCTACATGTGTGTAATTGTGATACAAGCCAAAACAGTGAGTACATATCAGGCCCGTAACCAGGATTTCAGGGACAGGTTTTAGAGGTGAAAGGGTCCAGGGCAAGAATTCTTGTGGGGGAGGGGGTCAGGGGTTCCCCTTGAGCTGAAGCATTTAGCATGTAAAATGTAAATTACTTATCACTTTGATGGTTCAGTTAAATCACAAAAAACCTTCCAGATTTGAGGGTCTGCATATGCCTATTATGAGTTTGACTCTTGCAGTAGTAACAGTAATGTATGACCAATCATGAAGTTAAATAAACTCTTTTAATGGAATTATATATTTAACTATTATCTTATGCCTATAATTAGCTTCTGAATATCTGTATGGAGAGTTGACCATATTAAGGATTGTTTTATGATACTATGACATTATACTATTTGTTTCTGAAAAGCTTTTGGTCTATGAATGGATAGTTCTAACATCATGGAGAGAAAATGATTGTGATCATTGATCAGAAATTGTGAATAGATTTTCCTGATTCTGATAATAATAGTAAATACAGGGTCTTCTGTGGTCCCAAAATATATAAATCTTTTATCTTTATTATTCTATAATTAGAGACAAAAGCTGCTAAAGAGCATGGAAGCCCCAGTCCCAAAAATGGTCTTCAATTGAAGGGAGACCTGTATATAAATTACTGATTGACTATTGTAATTAGTTGTTCAACATGAATAATAAGTTATGTGGCCATATCCCAACAGTACTGTGGCGAAGTTTGATAGTCAAACAGAATGGCATCATCACCCAAAACTTAGACGTAAGCTCTCTGACCAAAATCAGCGACGGCTACACTCAGAAGCACCTGGTGACTGCTTGCACGCAGGTGCTAACAGAACGAAGGGTGTCCCAACTGGCCAAGAGGCCTCTGACTGCTGCCGAGTTTGTCCCTTCCCTAGCACGGATCGATCCAATTTACAAGGAGGAGGAAGAAGCATTTAAGGTAAGCTAATTTAATAGTCACCTTCCTACATAAAGATGAAAGACGGTGAAAAGAAGACACCAGAGTGCTAAGAATTAGTTGGATAGCAAAAGGGAAAGTTAGCTGGCAATGGGTATGATAATTATGTGCAGTAAAATACAATGTGTCAAGATTTGCAAAATCTTAAAGTAGCTTCTCAAAATTTGGGACACCTAGAATAATTATATTGGTAATTGACAAAGATATTAAATATGTTTCGATATGTTTGTACTGTACATCAAATTTGCCTTGGTTAAAAATAAAACATTTATGAGTTAAAAACATATCATATATAAGTGTATATTCTATTTTGTATATACTGTAACTTTAAGATAATTCCTGATTATAGAAAGTTTTCTTTTTGGCTATATTACAATACAAAAGATTTCATCATCACTACATAGAGTGATGATGATAGGTCGTGTATGAATGGTGATTCCGTTACTTTCCACCCTGTGCCTGAATACCGAACATTACGCAGGCAGTCCATTCCATTTTCTTTTATGCTTTCATCTGACCACCTCAAAATTTTCAATCATCTCTTTGAATATTATATTCAAAAATCCATTCCACTAAATTTTATGATGATCCATTCATTAGTTTTGCATAATTTTGCTAACACACAGACGACAGTGGTGAATACACAACTTCATTTGGTGGAGGTAATAAATTGTAAACAAGCATTTCTTTTCTTTCTTTAGTCTTGGTATGCAAAAACACCCTTAGGAAAGAAACGTGCAAAAGCAGCTGAAGGCAATGATGAAGATGATGGAAAAGGCAAGAAAGGAAAGAAAAAGGGAAAGAAGAGTGGAAAGAAGGGAAAGAAGAAGAAGTAAACTAGATCCAGATCCTCCGGCTTATAAATCCCCAACTAAAATTAACATTCCAAACGGAAGTAATTGTTGAAGCATAATTATAGTGGTAATTGACAAAGATATTAAATATGTTTCGATATGTTTGTACTATACATCAAATTTGCCTTGGTTAAAAATAAAATATTTATGAGTTAAAAACATGACTTCTTAAATCTGGAATACTTTAAAGGAAGGAATATAAAAGAACCACATTGAAGATAAAGCATCTCCAGACAATCACAGGATGTGCAACATAGGTCGTTCACATTTCTAACAGAAATAGATGACAGATGCTGTTAGAGGGCTAAGTGCAAGATATTGGGAGCACGGTTGGGCAAATTGTGGCCTGATGGTTATTTTGTTCCAGCCCGCAAACATAAATTTGAACCCTATGTATGCGACCCGCCAACCATCTTTGATTAGAAAACCCCTTGTTTTTTACGACCAGAAACCAATCGCCTCTAAAAATTAACATTAGAACTGAGTGCGATATAAAAGCAGGTCTGTACAAGTTAAAGCAGACATGATGGTTTGCGTCGTAGAATAACATGTTCAATAATTGTCATTGACGGCTTAAGATTGTCGAATATCATACTACTGCAATAAATGAGTATTAAAATGATTAAGAAAATTTTAAGAAAAGCCAATAAACAGAGACTTCGAATATACTAAACATTTATTTCATCTGACCATGCAAAAATACATGATATTAATTATACTAAAATGAATAAAGATTATTAACAATGTGATAAATTGCATATATTGAATTTATAACTGACATTATTGAAATTTATATTTTATTAACTACATAATTTTGTATCAGTTTCCTCTTCATTATCTACCACTAACAATTTAAATGTTTGTCACAAAAAAAAATTCATAAACACTCAATTAAAAAATATTGGACTTCTCGTATAAAAAGGATCTAATAGGATATCAATTTTCATTGATTTAATTACAGAAATAATGTTTTGTTTTGCTTTCTGGTTAATATACCTAATCAATGCTTACAGATGGCATAGAGACAAACCATTACATTCACTGACTCTACAGCCCACATGTGTACTGTACTCTTGGTCGGAGAAACAGACATAGGTAAAGCACCTTGCCTAACGACAAGCAAAATTCACAGCGTGGGTTTGACTTTTTAATCTAAGATTCAGTGTAACCTTGGCAAAAAAATAAAATGGGGTAGGGCTCAGTCGAATTACGGTGTATTCAAAGATCTAAATAGGAAAGGAAGAAATAATATCGGAACAACACTATAGATCTCCCTACAATTAAACACCACCTCCAATTAAACACCACTTTACTGTGGTGCCAAATTATAAATGTCTTTTATTTATTATTCTAATAAGAGACCAAAGCTGTTAAAGGCCATGGAAACCACTGTCCCAAAATGGTCTTTAATTGAAGGAAGACCCTCCTCTGACGATCCATTAAAAAATAATTTCACGAAACAAGGTATGCAAAAGTCTTGCCTAAAGATAGAAAAGAAACAAATTGTGCTTGTAATTCAACAACCTCTATGCTATGTAGTCACTACATCATACTGTACTTTGTATTTATATAGCGCATTTCCTTTAGTTTTAGTAAGTGCTCTGTGTTCCCTGGTCATAATTCTCTAGCTAAGTGTTCTCTAAGTGTTGGTGCTCTCATATTGGTGCAGTAACAGGCAACCCCCCCCCCCCCAGGTACCCATTTATTCTCCTGGGTGGAGAGAAGAACTTAGATAAAAAGAAAAATTTAGATAAAAAAAATAGATAAAAGTTTAAACCGACACCGATCACATGTGTCGCTATGTCTAACACATAAGTTAATTTTTTTTTTCTTTTGCCTCATTAGATTATAACCTTTATATTTGTTGTTTACTTTAATTACATTGTAGATTAAAAAATAAGACAGTACTTTTGAATCCAAAATTCCACTGGAATGTTTATCTTAAAAATCTTTACAGGAAAAATGTCTGTTTGTTTACTAGTATAACCATAGAATTCATGAAATTCATTGGGATAATATTGGA